ATGTACAATATAACGTGACCTCTTGTCCCACTATTGATGTACAATTTAAGTTGACCTCTGCCCCCCTACTGATGTACAATATAAAAAATCCTCTAGTTCCCCAACTGATGTACAATATAGGATGACCTCTGGTCCCCCTACTGATTTTTCCTACTGATGTAAAATATAAAATGATCCCAGGTCTCCCTACAGATGTTCAATTAAAGGTGACCTTTGGTCCCGTTACTGATGTACAATATAAATTGTCCTCTGCCTGCCCCTCCTACTGATGCACAATATAAGGTGTCCTCTAGATGTTTAATATAAGGTGACGTCTGGTCCACCTACGTATGTGCAATATATAAATATTTTTTTAAAGTTTTATATTTTTTTAATATAATGTAGTTTTGAGTGATCTATGAATTTGATATGTATAATTCTAAGGATGGGGGGTGGGGTGGTGGAGAACTCCATGCAGCTCCAAACTTCGCAATACAGTGTGTACATCTTCGTTGTAAGATAAATAAAATCATGGGTTTGCTACAAAGTGTTGAAGTGATGAGGTCTATTGAAGCATGACCTCTTATTAGGAAGACAAAGGAAAGTTTAAATAATTTATTTGCAATTTATTATTCCATTATGTTTAAGGATTGTTGAAAAGTCCAACCAAAATGAAGAGGTAGGGGGCAAAATCTTCATTTTACCCGTGCTTGTTAGAAATCTGCTGTTGCAGAGACTGGACGTCGTTAACTCTGAGTCGCTTACTATTAGTAAGGCGATCAGATGTTAACTAAGGCACTGCGTATATAGATACTATAACCTTACATGGAATAATAAGATCATAGAGGAGACCACAGATCACCCAACATAATCCATAAGTGTTCAACTCTTGTATATCATATATATCTTATAATATTGCAGTTAAATTTGCTCAGCACCCCCTCCCCCATCTTTTCTAATAACCATCAGATGGTAATTTCTTTGACAAAAATAAATTTTCTGGGGGGTTTTAACACTGTAAAGGCTTCACAGTAAGACGATTTTTTTTTCTATTTTCACTTTACTTTACATTTTGTAGCGGAGTAAACAGGTCCGATAGTCGTAAACTGAGCGGGGGACCTAAGGTCCTAGTTGAGCGTACGTTTTATCCTTCTGCGAGGACTTTAGCTGAGTTTTCTAGATACGGCGAGGCACGGTTTACGAACCGGTATATATCAAATCCACGCACACTGATGTATGATATAAAGTGACCTCTGGTTTCCCTAGAGCTGTACAATATAAGGTGACCCCTGGTCCCCTACTGTTGTACATTATAATTTGAGCTCTGGTTCCAGTTATGATTACAATGTAAGTTGACCTCTGCCCCCTACTGATGTTTAATATAAGGTCTCCTCTAGTTCCCCTACTAATGTATAATATAGGATGACCTCTGGTCCCCCTACTGATGTCTCCTACTGATGTATAATATAAAGTGACATCTGGTTTTCCTACAGATGTACAATATAAGGTGACCTTTCGTCCCACTACTGATGTACAATATAAGTTGACCTCTGCCCCCCTGCCTACTGATGTACAGATAAGGTGTCCCATGGTCCTCCTACAGATGTACAATATTAGGTTACCTCTGATTCCCTACTGATGTCTCCTAATGATGTTTAATATAAAGTGACCTCTGGTCTCCCTAAAGATGTACAATATAAAGTGATCTCTGGTCCCAGTACTGATGTAGATTGTAAGCTGACCTCAGCCACCCTACTGATGTACAATATAAGTTGTCCTCTAGTTCCCCATCTGTTGTTTAATATAACATGACCTCTGATCTCCACATTGATGTTTACTACTGATGTGTAATAAAAGTGACATCTGGTCCCACCATTGATGTACAATATAAGGTGAACTCTTGTCCCACTACTGATGTACAATATCAGATGACCTCTGGTCCCCCTACTGATGTACAATATAAGATGACCTCTGGTCTCCCTACTGATGTCTCCTACAGATGTACAATATAACGTGACCTCTTGTCCCACTATTGATGTACAATTTAAGTTGACCTCTGCCCCCCTACTGATGTACAATATAAAAAATCCTCTAGTTCCCCAACTGATGTACAATATAGGATGACCTCTGGTCCCCCTACTGATTTCTCCTACTGATGTAAAATATAAAATGATCCCAGGTCTCCCTACAGATGTTCAATTAAAGGTGACCTTTGGTCCCGTTACTGATGTACAATATAAATTGTCCTCTGCCCGCCCCTCCTACTGATGCACAATATAAGGTGTCCTCTAGATGTTTAATATAAGGTGACGTCTGGTCCACCTACGTATGTGCAATATATAAATATTTTTTTAAAGTTTTATATTTTTTTAATATAATGTAGTTTTGAGTGATCTATGAATTTGATATGTATAATTCTAAGGATGGGGGGTGGGGTGGTGGAGAACTCCATGCAGCTCCAAACTTCGCAATACAGTGTGTACATCTTCGTTGTAAGATAAATAAAATCATGGGTTTGCTACAAAGTGTTGAAGTGATGAGGTCTATTGAAGCATGACCTCTTATTAGGAAGACAAAGGAAAGTTTAAATAATTTATTTGCAATTTATTATTCCATTATGTTTAAGGATTGTTGAAAAGTCCAACCAAAATGAAGAGGTAGGGGGCAAAATCTTCATTTTACCCGTGCTTGTTAGAAATCTGCTGTTGCAGAGACTGGACGTCGTTAACTCTGAGTCGCTTACTATTAGTAAGGCGATCAGATGTTAACTAAGGCACTGCGTATATAGATACTATAACCTTACATGGAATAATAAGATCATAGAGGAGACCACAGATCACCCAACATAATCCATAAGTGTTCAACTCTTGTATATCATATATATCTTATAATATTGCAGTTAAATTTGCTCAGCACCCCCTCCCCCATCTTTTCTAATAACCATTAGATGGTTATTTCTTTGACAAAAATAAATTTTCCTGGGGGTTTTAACACTGTAAAGGCTTCACAGTAAGACGATTTTTTTCTATTTTCACTTTACTTTACATTTTGTAGCGGAGTAAACAGGTCCGATAGTCGTAAACTGAGCGGGGGACCTAAGGTCCTAGTTGAGCGTACGTTTTATCCTTCTGCGAGGACTTTAGCTGAGTTTTTTCTAGATACGGCGAGGCACGGTTTACGAACCGGTATATTTCAAATCCACGCACACCGTGCAACACATTATACTCGGTGTAATGCTACGTTTACACTAAGTTTCCGGCATCCACGGCAATAACGTTTCAGGCCACCGTGGAAAAAACGGGACGGGCGTGAGAAAACTTGGGGCAACGGGATGGGCAAACGTAACTCATCGCGACTGCCGTGGATGCCGTGCCAGATTTTTAGACTGTCAAAAAATTTGTCACGGCGGGCAAGTTGCAGATGTGAAACGTAGAAGGTCGTAGTAAAACGGAATAAACGCAACAAAACGCGACAGCACGTAATAGACCGTACCAGAACTTGGAGGCAGGCCGCAGTGGAACGGGAGAATGTATATTTCCACTCATCTCACGGTCCATTCACGTTTTGAGTCGTTCTACTGAGTTTAGTCCGCGTTCTGTCACGGCTAGTTCACGGTTGTTGTCCGTTTTATCACGTTCTTCCACGTTTCATCACGGTCCTTAGGCAAAGTAGGGTGTATTGTAGCCGTTTCCTCACGTTCAATAGGAGTTAGTCCCGGTATGTTACGGTTTACGGTCCCCGTGCGTTGTGTTCTACTACGGTCTCACACGGCGCACGCGGTCTGAAAGGAAGCATATAAAAGCCGGGCACTGCAGAGAGGTTTCATTCGTCTTATTCGTCTCATTCCTAGTTGTTGCACTCCTGCCTTCCCTCTCTGTAACTGCTGCTGGTTTTCTTCATTTTGACGAAGTTATTTTAGGTATGCACCCAGCAAACACGCGAAAATAAAATCTTCGTCTTCGGAATTCATGATGTTTTATCTTCGAAGGGTCATGATACAATGATTGTTTCTAGTTAGGAGACCTTCTCTGGTACAAACGTGATCCATAGTTTCCTGGCGTCCATGTTTCATACGTAGAAAGACTTGACAGAACGTGAGAAACGTATAAGAACTTCATTAGAACGCGAGAAACGAGAGGGGACCCATCAGAACGTAAGAGGCCTGGGGGGAACGTGCTGGTATACGTGGCAGAACCGTATTGCGCCGTGCATGCACGTGGAGCCTCCGGCACTCCACGGCAACCTCTTCCTACGGCCATCACGGATTCCGTAGAAGACCGTAGAAGACCGCAAAAGAACTTGTCAAGACTTGGATATAGAGGGGAAAATAACCAAAATCTCACGGCGCACTACGTTTTGGGCAAACGGGGCTACCCTGGCTGCCGAAAACATAGTGTAAACGTAGCATAACACAGAGCATTTCACATGGTGTTTTTTTTAAACCTTAAGTTGCGGAAAACTCTTGGTCTACTTCAACTGCAGCAAGGACGAACCTCTTGAATTAAAACTCCTTAACGGAAAACAAATATTCTGTTGTGATATGTAACAATTTACTGATTTATTTTTTTCATAATTCCAATAACAGTTCCCCTATTTCACTGTCAATTATAACCAACACTTAATATAGAACTCATGATTGCCTTAAATCTTCTAATCAACAAGCACATGTAGATACAAGTATATTTTTATAAATTAAAAAAAAAACCCTTACTTTTATATTATTAACAATATATCTTTTAGTTTAAAAAAATAACGTTTTTTCCTGATGTAAGCAGCATTTTTGCTGAATTTTATCTAATCTTTTGCACTTAAATCAAATTGTTTTTTTTTTCAACAATAAAATTGCTGTGAGGCATCCACTTTCTTAAGAGAAATGCGTAAAAATGTTATTCTCAATGATTTTTTAAAAGTGTAATAAATTTCCATTTCCATCCTTTATTTGTAAAGAGCTAAGGAAAGTCTTCAGTGATTCCCACCTCTATCTGATTAATACATTTCTTATTGAATATTTATGTACTAACCTCTGCTTTTCCTTCTCTGTCTTTCTTTCCATTTTTTAATGATGAAAATGGCCAATCCAATACAGAAAAATGATATTGCTGAAACCAATCTAAAATATTGAATGAAATACAATTTAATCAATCAATGTTTTTTCTATACACTGCAAATTGAAATGCAAGTGGAATATGTAATTTTGTGTACTTACATTAACACAGTGGTATACACTTCTGACTTATCTTCAGGAACGAAAGTTACATTTTTATTACTTGATGGAATTGTTGATGTTAATTCCATGGTTTTACAAGGTTCGTCTACAATGACAACATATTATTATTCTTTATATTATTATTATATTTTTTTATTCTACATGTTTTAAAGATAAAAACATACAGACTGTAGGCGATAAAATTATTACTACTTACACAGGTGGGCTTCTGAGGACAGAAATCGGCCAGGACACAAAGAGGATTGGCTACAATTTATGTTTTTATCTGTTTGAAGTTGTGTGTTGTTATAAAAGACACATACACCTGTTTCATAAATCAAATACAATGTGTTAGAGAACAGTACTGGAAATTGCTATATGACAATTAAAAAAAAATATTCAAATTTTGATTCACATGTTGTTTTTGTTATCTTCAACATGATGAGTCTCGATTATGCAGGTATGTGAAGGCTACACCGAAAAAAAAATCTACTATTCTATACAATATAAAATCCAAGTAAATAGTTAAATAAGCTATTTATTTTAGTCTGTTTTTTTAATAGTGATTTGAATGAAGACTGTAAAATTCAATGCAGACAAAAAAGAGTGGATTAAAGTTATTGGTCACGAGCGCCATTAATCCCATTACATCTAAATATTTGCAGAGTAAAAATGAAACGTAAGGACAATTCGTATAAACATGCATATGGGAAGAGCTTAAAAGCATTTAAGTTCAGATGATACAAAGAAAAAATGGATGCCTGGATTGATACATATGTCTGGGCCTATTATTGTTTCAAAAAAAATGATATTAATAAGTTTCTAAAATATAAAATTATTGTAAAACTTCTCTGATGCTCAAAATTCTACCTTTCTACAACCATCCTTATTGATCGATATAGGACGCATGCGTGACACACAGGACGTCTTTCGTTTCCATCTCTCAAGTTCGACCATTTATTGTAAAAAAAAAAATTGTAGTTCTCTTCTTACCAAAACGGACTGCTCTGTCTACAGGAGATGTGCTGTTCCCATTTATGTGTAAATTCTGACAATCGGAGTAGTTTTTACTATAGAACAGTTATTCCATTGTGCCGAACTGTCGAGTTCCCAAATATTGCGCAACTTCCGCTTTCACTTCCGTTTTCCAATCTAAACAACATGAAGAGAATACGGAATTTGGACTTTGTCTTCGGACTTTTTGCTTTCTCCATGCTGTTTTCACGAACATTTCCAAGTAAGATTGTCTTATGCTATTTCGTCTACCAGCCCAGTGATAGCCCATATATGCCACAAGACAAGTATTTTTGGTACATATTCAACTCTGTGTCTAAGAACATACTGTGGTACGGCCAACGTGAATAATTACAGTTCAAAGCCCGTTGCTAGTGAGCTATTGCATAGCTCAGTCAGGAATGGTAAAAAACTTAATGCTCAATAGCTCTATTAACAACATTTGCTGTACATTGCTGTCCTGCTTATCATCCATGCATCAGACACCGAGTTAAACCCAGGCCCAGGGCCATAGTACCCTTGCCAAATCTATGGAAAGGCTGTTACATGTAAACACAAGGCTGTAGCCTGTGACAATTGTTCATTATGGTATTACAAGGATTGTATGCACATGCCTACATTAGTTTATCATGCCCTTGAAAATTCGAATACCTCATGGGTATGTTGTTCATGTGGAATTCCTAACCTTTCAAGTAGTCTTTTCGATAGTTTTGTTGTAGACTCTGTAAATCGGTTTTCTTGCTTACAGATCACTTCCCATAGTGACTTAGCCTCTCCAACACCTCTAGTCATTCAGAAATAGGATAACCTCTGCACATTTCTAGCCCAGCAGGAAAACCTAGAAACAATAAAGAAACACCCTCCCAGCTTCGGTTTGTGTGCCTTATTATGCAAAGCTATATGCCCAAGAAGGAAAGCTTTTGGAATCTCTTAGAAAGCAGCAACCCTGACGTGGTCGTTGCAAATGAGACCTGGTTAAGGCCAACAATCTACAACAGTGAGCTGCTGCCTCAATATTCAATATATTCAATTTATCGCAGAGATCGTAGTGATGGGTATGGTGGAGTCTTTATTGCGCATAAAGATAATCTCACTAGTGATCCAGTTGAAATTAAATCTGACTCTGAGGTATTGTGTTGGTGTATACATAACCCCTCAGGAGACTCAGTTATAGTCATATCAGCCTTTAGACCCCCAGGCGGCACCATAGAATATGCCTTAGACTTATTTAATGCTGTGAAGGAGATTTGTCGTCACTACATCTTAGGTGGGGATTTAAAACTCTCCATACATTTCTTGGCCTACAAATTCCATTACTGGCCATCAATGTATTAAGTATATAAAGGAACACATACTCAACATAGAAAACGAACTTGGTCTTAATCAAATTGTAGACTTCCAAACACGGAAAGAGAAGACACTTGATCTCTTCTTCTCAAATAGACCGTCCTTTATAGATAGATGTGAACCTCTCCAAGGAATTAGTGATCATGAAGCTATTTTTGTGTCCATGAACATCTCTATAAGCCGCATCAAACACCCCAGACGTCGTATTCTCTTATGGGAAAAAAGCAGACATAGAATGTATTAAAAACAGTGCTGCCACCTATGCAGGGGGATTTTGTAATGACTTTTCAACTTCATCTGATATCAACCAAATGTGGTCCAGATTCAGCTCATGGTGTTCGGATACCATGACTAAGCTTGTGCCATCTCGCATGTCCTCCCGGCGGGTAACACAGCCATGGACAAACAAGGATGTACGCAGGTTGTCTCGTGCGAAGCGAAAATGGTTTAAGAAGGCACGTACATCCGGTTGTCAATCTGATCGGGACCACTTCACAATTCTAAAACATGAACAACAACGTTTATGCAGACAAGATTATAATAAGCATATAAGTGATATGCTCTCAGATGACACTGGTGGAAAGAAGAAATTCTGGTCGTTCATCAAAAGTCGTCGTACCAACAGGTATGGAGTTTCTCCCCTCAAGAAAAATGGGCTCACTCACAGTCTACACACTGCTCGTAACATCAATGCGGTTGAGATGATACAAAGACGTGCTGCTAGATTTGTGAATGGAACATACAATCGCACAAATAGTGTATCAACCATGCTCTCCGCTCTCTCATGGGACACCCTGAAAATTCGCAGATCAAGAGCAAAGGTCATCATGCTCTATAGGATTCAGCACTGCCTTGTCGACATACCACCGGAAGAGTACCTGATACCCACTGGCAGTCGTACCCAAGGCCACACAACCAAGTTTCTTATACCACATGCCAGACTACAAGCCTATCAGTACTCTTTCTTCCCAAGCAGCATCAGGCTTTGGAATACACTCCCAGCTGCAGTGACCCAGGTTAGCTCGCTTGAAGCCTTCAAGCAGAGCCTGGCAACCACACAATTCCTGTAAATATCTTGTTTTTAATTGTAAATATAGCGCCCTGTGTGTCACGATTGCGCCTTTTAAATCACAGTGCGAGTATACTCGATTCCCGAGGAATGCACTTAAAGAAGAAGAAGAAATGTTTTCAGTGTAAATCTATTTATTGTGAAACTCTGCATGAAAATTGAAAAGCTACGCAGTCAAACTTGTTCATTTTACTCAGTAAAACATGACAAGTTATTGATACGGTATTGATACAATTATTGATTTACATTACGTTGTTCGTTATCTCCATATGTTTTATTCAATTGCCGATATTTATCGGCTTTGCCCTTTGTAAAAACATAGGTGGCGCCACGACCGTTTATGTTCCACAGCACTTCCGGTAGCATGTAAAAAACGTCAAATCTGCGCACCTGTGACTGAGTGTCAATGATATATCGATGTTTTTCAGAATTCCTTAAGAGTTTAAGCTATTGTAAATTAAGCTTTCATGTAGATATAAAGTCAGTTAACCGTTAGGTATCAACCATACATAGGTTTGATTATGTATTTTGCTATAAAAACTTCGATGACTTCAGTCAAACTGTGTGTTGTGCCACATGCATTCGGGGAAACGTACATCTCTTCAACTTCAGAAGGTAAGTTCCTCAATTAGTTTTATTTGCATTTAAAGAATTCTTTAACTTTAAAATTTATTCTTGCTCAGTAAATTCTATACGTTATATGTTGTTTTAATATAAGTCTTCGTGATTGGGGGGTGAAGGGGGGGGGGTGTCAACAGTGTCAAACGTATCGGTAATCATTCACTTGTAAATATATGATGCTTACAGTCTATGAACAAATATAATCAATAATGGTTTAAATTAAAATGTTAAAAAAAAACTTTTTAAACCAACGATATGAATTATATACTAAGATTAATTTTTATTTTATTTTCAATGTTATAAGGGTTGATTTATATATGCGGTTTTTTTTATTCTCATGAAAATACTCGGCTACATAATTACTTGACAAAATATGCTAGGATATTGTTAAACTTTTCAACAAGTGAAAAAATGTGCATTTATATAGTGATTTTGTTTTGTCATTAATTAGATATAGTTAGATATAGTACATGTATTCCTCATCCCACATACTGATGATGACCGACTGAAGAAAACATGAAAATTTAATGGGTAGGATAGTGACAGTGAGTATTTCCTCCTCAAATGCAAGTTAATATTTTTCATATTTCATCTCTTAAAATTCAATCATTTTCTATTTTTTGAAAAATATTGAATATGCCAAAGTTTAATCAAAATACCTGTCAAGAAATGTTTCTCAAAGGCAGATCCAGGGCTGGCGTGGCGGGCATGCCCCCCCCCCCTTTGGATTTTTCTTTAATGTGTAAGAACTTGTTCGCTTTTCAGCCCCAGCCTTCCGATAAAAAAGACCTCGCCCTTGACCCACTGGGGGCTTCAGTACAACAGACCCCCCTCCCCCTGGCTTTGTACTGCGCCCCTGTTACGAAAATCCTGGATGCGCCACTGTTTATTTCTTAAATTTATACAGCATTTTGTATGATATCCATTTACAAGATATAGATTTACATGGCAGCCTATCTATTATAATAATATTTCTGAGACCAATAGCACATCAAGTCAGATTTTCAAATCTATATATATATATATATATATGTATTGTAAGGTAGGTAATTCAAATACCTGGACAGCTAGTTTTCAAGAATTAAACCATTAAATAGTTTACTTAAAAATTTTTTTGGGACAACATTGTATCTTGGGGTCTGAGAATTTGATATGTGTAGAATAAGGCATCCATGTTTGGACATTTAATGAAGAAAAAAAAATTAATAGAGCCCCCAGGCCTGCTTTTTGGCATTAAAAATGGCATTGGGGCTTTACTTATTTTGACCCCCAACAGACCTTTCAAAATCAAAACCCTGTCATTTATCTTTGTGTGGATATATCAGGGCATTATAATAAATACTAGTAATCTATTCGTGATATTAAAACTGATAATTGAATTGAATTTAAATGAATAAATGTTTATGTTTTAGGAATTGACTAAAATGTCAAGAAAAGAAGATACTCCCACAAGATTGCCTTTGGTCTGGAGTGTGAGTGATGAAGGAAAATCTGCCGTATTAACTGAAACTCATTTTACATCATATTAGCTTGGGCGGTTTTTTTTTTATAAAAATGTGTTGTGGCTTTGAATTGCTGTATGACAATCATGACATTTTATGAGTTCCTATAAATAAAAGTGCGAGAATTCATTTGTAAATAAAAGCATGGATCTAAATGTTGAACATATAAGACTTGAAAGAGTTATATGGCTTTGAAAATTTTTCACAATATTTTAAGCTTCAATATTTTATTTAACAATATTAAATGTATGATTTGTAGTTCAGCATATTGCAAATTTATTGGTTTTTACACATATCATATGCATATACATGTATAATAAAACAATTATTTACAATATCACTGTTATCAATATTTATTTGAAAAGTTTTTACTGGGTCTTGAAAGGGTAATTTACCTTTGCAGGATAAAAATCTAAGCCATATACAGCAAAGCTTTCAAAAATTACTTTTATGTTTGGCTACTAATAAAATATAGAGCATGATCATATACATAAATGTATCTTCATGGGAACATCAATCTGATTAAAATCAGATCTCTGATACACACTGAATTTCTGATGACACTTGTATAATCTTCTATATGCATAGCAACCATTATAATAAAAATTTTGGAGTGTAACAAAGATTGATTTGTGGGCACATAATACACACTCTGATATAGAATTTCTGAAGTAATAATTTTTTCTACATGTGTATAAATATGAAGTAGGAATTATTTAGCTGGTTTCCCCCACACCAGGAAAACAAAAAAAAAATACTTTCAAAAGTGACACTGGCTGACTGAGTATTAGTTGGGTAAGAATGTTTCAATTATGGAATATAAATAATTATATCCGTGTCATCTTAAAAATTATAATTGATAAAGGATAATCTAGATTAAGTTGGTTGTTAGAATCAGAGGAATCTTGCATTAGATGTCCTTGTCAATATCCTCATGGGTAACACTAAGTCTGAAAAATCTTGGCACCTTCACTTCTCTCTCTCTCTCTCAACATGATTGTTACATGTAGTAAAGTTTTTTGTTTCTATTGTATGCTTTGGTTCAGAAAATCTAAATAAACCCTCTATTTTTATGCTTAACGCGATTGCTATTTGACTGAGGAAATTACGATTAAAACCTTAAAATATGGAACAGACCTTCCCACAAGCTCCAGTTACAATCAAATCATGATGCTTATCGGCGATTTAATTCATTTTTGAGATTTTAAGACACCAAACTCCGAAATCAGTCATTTTATTACGTATATTTTCACAACAGTCGATATATTCGGAAAGTGAAAGTGATTTCTAATCTCGGAGGTAAAAAGAGCGTTGAACCTAAACGGTGCATACATGTACGCCACCTACAAACAGGGGCAGGTAATACGTAGTTTTATTTGCCATTATTTTTTTTTTTTCATTTCATCGGATAATATTCAATCTGACATTGGATTTAATAAATAATTGTTATCAGCTTTATTTGGAGAAAGAATATTTCATAAAAATGATGATCATGATTTAAGGGCAAAATGATAAAGTACGGCGCCATAGTAAATTATTGGTGGCCCTTAGTAAGAATAATTTAACTGTGTCTTAGGACAACCCCTCACTACAGTTAGAATACTTCCAATATACTCGCAATGTAGCAAAAAAATGAAAAATCGCTCGGAATCGAATTTGAAGAATTAAAAGGTATTTTCACTGAAAATAACTTCAAAATTAATTATAACAAGCTTTTTGAGGTTATGTAAGCAATAAAACCTAAAGCATAATCCCCCCCCCTAAAAAAAGAGTTATATTCTCGACGTTTTTTCTCGCTTCAAATTTACACGCCATGTTCCTGATGTCTACGATCGGAACTCTCTTGGTTGTTCATTTTTAGTAATGCACTGAGTGCGAGTTATCGCCCGTGTTTTTTTATTACATTGTGAATGTACATGTAACGAATTCTATCGTTAAACCGGGTCCATAGGACATATATCATTTTAACGTAAGGACATTCTATCTAGGCGGCCCTGTGTGCATGTATAATCAAAATACCAAGATAACTTACTCTGTATGATAAATTTATCAATATAAAGTCTGGGAACCGCATTTTTTTTTCAGATCTGATGATTGTATGGAATGAATGTATTATCCAAACCGATCATAAATCCGAAAATTCTGTGAAAATACGTAAAATATCAATATGAAACGTAGAAGCTAAACATGTATGCGGTGTATCTGAGCTAAAAAAAAAATAAGATTTAGTGTAGATGAAGATGATATTTGCTATTATTATTTTCAAATTAAATTTTTTCATCGATTTTAAACTTAAATATCCCCACCTTTCTATAGGTTAAATTGACTTTAAAGCTGGATGTTTTTATTTTAGTCTGAAATAAATAGGTTATTGTTTTCAATCTCGGATATCTATGACACACAATTGATTTAAATCGTGACATAACAGGAAAGTCCTCTTTAAATAAAGTAACAAAACGAATAGAGAGATTAGTTTAAATATTGTTTGTCTAAACGTATTGGGGTATAAATTTTGATCTACAGTGAATGAGTCATATGTATGCCTCACGGTTAATCTGACATTCCTCTGTAACCGTTTAAACCATCATACTTGATCACCTCATATATTTGTTAATGACCGTTTGCACGCCTTGTTCTTAGCTTTCAAATATATATTTTAAAGTAGTATTCAATATATCTGTTGTTAGCATGTATCTTTGAAAGAGAACGAATGCAGAGAGACCTGAGGCGATCGTAGTCAGTGTAAACAAATCGTGTATCGTACAACAGCGTAAGTGTATTATTAAGTTCAAACAAAGAAAAAGGTGTGTATTTCTGTTAGCTGGATTATCAAAACACGTGAAAAACAATATTCAAAGAGAAAAGGGTATAAAAATGATCCAATATTTGTCATAGCCGATAAAATGACAAATGTTCCTTCACATTCCAGGGTGTAGATTCGACGGTGTCGTGGTATTGTTAAAAAGTATAATGAGGAAAACATTTAGAGCCATTTTTAATTCAGGAATGGCACACACAAATATACTGTACATGCACAGTGAAAAGTGAAATTGCATGTATTATTTGCTTATCTATCAACATATCTACTGTTATACAGAAATATTCAAAAAGGATCCAAAAGGTAGTCGAGTAAGTGAATGCACTAATTGTAACGTGGAGATACCTTAAAAAACAGCCCCCAAATTCTCAAATTTCATGCACTGAAGACTACTTCAAAATAGTAAGCGCCATGTATAATAAATATAGGTAATATAATGTTTCTACAACGAAAGTATCATCATATGCTTGTACATAATTATTTACATATTTTATTTGTTTATACGTCCTATCAAAAAGCTTTTTGAAAAAATCTAGCAATGTGTAAAACATGTCAAAGATACTAAGTTAAATAGTATAATGAGGAAAACATTTAGAGCCATTTCTAATTTAGAAATGGCACACACACACATTCACACGCACGGGTAAAAATGATTTTGTATGTATTATTTGCTTATCTATCAACATATCTACAGTTAAACATAAATACTAGGTCAGTAAATTTCCCAATAAAAAGTTCATCTGAAATCTAACTGAAGGCCTACTCATTGTACGCTACAAAACCCCACCAAGTCTTCCATCTTTTTGTATATAATTGTATTCATATTTATTTAAGTCCTTACCATAAATATATTTTTCAACGGCGCACACTTCAACTAATGTTCCTGATCGATCAGTAGGAAGGCAGTGATACGTGAATTTTGACGAATTTTTACAAGTTTCCCCTTCAATCCGTTCACAGCCTTTTATTTTTGCTCTTATCTTTGTACTTTCCTCGTTTTCTGGACATTGGGCAACATTGTATTCTGTCCTGGCGGACGTAGGACAGTGCTGAGCAGACGAGGCGGTGAGCTACAAAATTTCAACAGTATGCTTTATTAGATAGTCCTAAATCTAAAAGTGTACTGTCTTTAAGTTAACTTAAAAAAATATGTATAAAAAATCAAACAATTAAAATATAACTACGGTAACAAAATACTTACGGTAATAATCAGGCATATTTGAACAAAAGGTAAATGATCTATCCATCCCATGTCGAAGTTAAAATATCATTTCATCTGGAAAAGTTCATAACATATCTTGAATAAGTCTGCAAACATACTTTTCAAATGCATATACCCACAATAGATCTGGACATATTGTTAGAATTTTTCAATGCATGTGAAAGTTAAAGGCACCCTTTAGCCCGTTGGTTGCATTGTCCAAACCTCTAAAGAATGACCTCAGAATACATACACTTGCGAAAAGATTTATTTCAGGGAGATTCAAACAATAAAAACAAATAAAAAATCAAGTTTGTGGTGATGTGTAAATTACAATGATTAAATTGAAATCTTTTCTCTGGTAAATTAAATTAAAAAAATAAATAATAAGTTTGATAATTCCAAAGCGACTGATAACCATTATAAACTATTGCATAAAGTAAAAAGTATCCGTTGCAAAGAAGCTCCGTATCTTTGTGGTGCTATTTTAAAATAGCAAAACACATATATTCCTTTACATAAAAGAAAACAAAACAATACTACCTTCGAGGCATAGTACATGTAGCTTATACGAGTAAATGATGAAGCTGAGTAAATTATATTATGCCTAAATTTTGCTGCTAGAATCCATTTCTGTCGGTAAAATATTTATTCCACGCATTCGCATGAAATCCAAACAGATGTTTTGAATTTGATACAGATAACCCTTGTTATTCCTTCAAACCATGCTCAGCTCTTGATTCTAGCAACATGAGAGTAGAACGGTTTTTGATCCGTACAAATCTAATGTTTTGAAGCATCAAGCTGAGTGTTGTTCTTTTAGAGTATAGTTGTCACGATTAACGTAGGAAAGGCTGACCGGGATTAGTAAATAGCTGACTGTAGTCAACAGAAAAATACTAGTACAGTATATTGAATTAACATAATTTCCAAATAGCATAACTGCTCAATTTTTATCACGTGATGACGATCATTTATGATATAATATTCTTAAACGTTGCACAAAAATCACATTGGCACATGTGCTAAATAGAATTGATGTTAATACTTCGGTGACTAAGAATGTTATCAATTTAGAATTTTAGGGAATGGAATTGACTTTTGATGCCATTGAAGGGATGATCAAGGCCATGAAATACACGTTTTTTTTTTGTTAAATTAATACCCAGAGGTAGATCAGAGTATCAAAGAGAAAATATATTTCCGATTTATAGCTATTTATAAGAGTTATTTATAAATTGTATACCAACCCCAAACGATGCACTGGCTCTGGGGCCACATATTTCAAAATTTTGGAAATTTCGTCAAAAATTTTATAACATCATATTTTTTTATTTATAGCAAAGAGCATAATTCAAAGCATTTATTTATTTTCATACTATGTATAACACCCCTCCACCAGTACATGTACATGTACATGTATCCCTGAGCCATGAAATTCACTATTTTGAAACAGACAGGTCTTATTCAACAAAACTATCCACTAGGCTAGTTAATTTAAAGCCCAGAAGCAGAGAAGAAGAATTTCTTATGCATTTTCACGTTATAATCTATTTAGCTCCTCCCTAGCACCAAAAGAGCTGACCAAGGGAACAAAATTCACCAGATGTAGCTTTACCCTGAGCCTGGGGCCATGAAATTCACTATTTTGAAACAGACAGGTCTTATTCAACAAAACTATCCACTAGGCTAGTTAATTTAAAGCCCAGAAGCAGAGAAGAAGAATTTCTTATGAATTTTCACGTTATAATCTATTTAGCTCCTCCCTAGCACCAAAACACCTGACCAAGGGAACGAAATTCACCAGATGTAGCTTTATTCAACTAAACTTTGTAACAGATATGTTTTTAATACCCAGGAGCACGGAATATTTTCAAAGAAATAATTCATTTTCACTATATAATCGATAAAGTAGAATATCGTGATCAAAATCTTATAGCTTTAGTGCATTCATTCTTTTTACTTGGACGGGTAGCTTTTCAAAGCAAGAATAATTGTTTGTGCTTTGAAAATCATATGTATTTGATTTATTTAAAAAATCTAGTCACTTTTTAATAATTTTACTACATTTGACTATTTTTGCAAGTCTCATTGTATCAAAATTTTAACTAAATTCATTGTTTTGTAGTTATTTTTAGAGGCAGATGAGATGAAAAGTAAGTTCCTGTCAGATTTTAAACCAAGTTTACCATTTCTATCTAATATTGTACAATAGTGACGAGGAAAGAAAAACATGATCTTTAAAGTCATTTTATCTAAATATTCATGTACAATACATCATTATAAGCGAAAAAACTTTAAATATTTCATATAGTCAGAAACCAGACAGAGTTAACCTTAAGTTAAAGATAACAGTGACCTTGAAATAGGACGCTTCACACCTCCTACCTAAGATGTAGATACTGCACTATTGACCGCGTTTAGTGATTCTAGGTCTATTAGTTTTCTATAGTTATTATTTTGTCTGTTGTAAATTTGTGAAAACCAGATTTATTTGGTCCATAGAGACGATGATATGAGAGCTTGGAGGTGGATAAAACATACAAACAAACCCCTTGAAAATATGCCGTGAGATAGGGAATAAAAGTAGTTGATAGGATGATGATGATGGAAAGTGGAAAAATTTTCCCAAACTGCAAATAAGATCTCGCGCCGTTGGTTGCACAATTATTGCCTTATGGGATCTGTATACAACATTATTGTTCAAGACTCTAAAATATAAATATAAAAATAAAAAAAAAAACTTAATAAGCCATAGATTTGCAGCTATGTATGGATTTTTTTTATACTTGGTCATAGCATATTAATTTGAGTTAAGCGCAGATTTGATGCGAGATATACATTCTACCTAAGATGAATCAGCTGACAAGTTAAGATAACCCAATATTTACAACACAAAGCATTGACGTAGTTCAGAGTCAGGAACTATAAACGTAAGCGCGAATCTTAGCGACCACAGAGCAACTTATGTTTGTCTCACCATGAACTACAAAATTAATCATGCGTATAAGCGAATTATACGGCTGTATAAAGAAGCTGATTTTGAAAAACTAAATTCCTTAATAAAAGATTGCGATTAGGACAGCTTAATAAATAGCACCCAAGATGTCGACACTGCTAAGGGAAACTTTACAACTCATTTCCTATCGTCTGTACGAAAATATGTTCCAGAAAAGTCGGTCACAATTCGTGCGAAGTATAAACCTTGGTTTGACTCGGTACTTAGGAAAAATATTAGAATACGCAACAGATTACATAAAATAGCAAGAAGAACGAAAAAGAAAGAATCGGATAAAGCTGAATATCGAAAAATCAGAAATCAGGTCAAGAACATGAAAAAATATGCGCTATCGAATTATTATGACAACATGTACCTTCAGTTATCTGAAGCGAACGTTAATAATACTAAATTATACTGGAAAATGCTAAGATATGCCTTTCATGTAAATCCGAACAAAGATAATCCACCCATACAATACAATTACTGCGCAAGAAATTGTTGATATCATATCAATAATCCCTGTCAATAAAGCAATAGGTCCTGATGCATTAAGCCACAATATGTAAAAAATCTACTATTAATTAGGTGTCTAAACCACTATGCTGGTCATTTAATAAGTCGCTGGCAGAAAATATATTTCCAGATGGTTTATTCCCCGAACGTCTAAAACTTATATACACAGCATAATTATCACACTCAATTAAGGGGCCCCTCTAAGGGGCACAGGTAGAGATTAACTGTGTTACCTGTGTTATCTTGATTTCATTAGCATTCTGAATGTCTTTGAACAACTTGACGACTGTGAATATGTTGGGGTGAGCATGTTGAACCATTCTCCTTTTCTTGCTGTGCCATCCTTCCAGACTGTTGTTTGTTCTTGGTCCGTCCGTGCCGAAGTGGTTCCACAAAAGTCGGTCATCATTCACCCAGTTCTCGGTCTTCCAGGGTTGTAAACCATACATCCTCTATGCAGTCAAGAGGATCTAGAGGCAGGACAGCTGCTCTTCGAACCAATGTCTTGATGTCGTCATTCTCTTTGTATGGAATCTGTAGGCCAGTCTGTTGCGCTCTTCGCCATACCGCCTGTGTGAAGTGGAAGAAGCAGCCCTTTGTGTTGATTCCAGGAAACACTTGTCGAATGGAATTGTGGATAACTGTCTCGAAGTCGGTTAGGGCACTGGTAGGACAAAACTGTAGTCCAAGGTCGTTGATTTTTTCTTGCAGGGTTGAGAAGAATCTGGTGTAGATTGCTTGACTCTTGCCGGGTAAGAGGGGGCAAACATTTGATGTCATCACATCGTCAATTCGCACATGGATGCTGAAGATTTGATGGAAGAGGCTGGGACAGGTGTAAAATGTACCATCACAGAAGAAGGTCTCAGATGCTGCAAGGTCTCCAAGGTTGTCAGTAGTAGCATATGTGATGATTCTGGTGTTGAGGAATGTGTCGTCTAGGAGTAGGAATTGTTGACCAGTCTCTGTCTCTGTCCATTTTCCTTCCAGTTTGATGTCTGTAAGTGTCTTCGGTAGTGGGGGTGTCTGTTTCCGGCGAGCTCTGTACAGCGTTGATTTTGCAGTGTTGAAGGTTGGCAAGTTCTCGATGACCTCTTTGCTGGTGTCGTCCCACTAATTTTCTTTCATCTAACTCTCAAAGTGAACTGATCTTGCCAGCCTCATTACCAATTATTCATAATTTATGTTGTTAGTTGAAATTATATTCAAAATTTACAATAAAGTGATTTGTTTTCAAATTATTGAATGCTACGCTTTTTTGTACATTTTCACAAATACTTGAAATTTATAATCTTAAGATTTAAGTTTTATCGTGGAGACTAAAAATGATTTTGAAAATAAATTGTTATAACATTAAATGTATTCAGAGTAAATGCTTAAAACTTTAGCTAAAAATGAACATAAAAATTTTCAAGCACAATAAAAAACGGATGGATTGAAAAAAAATGAAATAATCTAGAATATTTTTAAAAGAAAAATGATTTTCTTTGTTTCAATATATTAAATGCATTTAAAATATATTATTTATATAATGTTACAATATTACATATAACATTTAAATCCTTTTAAAGGAATTATTGGTAAGATGTTTGAAACATTGATTAATATCAATTGACTAAAATACCCTGTAAATACTTGGAAGATTTGAGTAAAAATATTTAAAAATTTGAAAACATTTCATTTTTTTAATAGGATTTATTGCTAAGATTTTCCCTATATAAGTCTTTGACACAGTCTTGTAAGTGCAGCTAGTTTATTCATACAGTGTAAAACACAGGTAACACAGGTAATCTCTACCTGTGCCCCTTAGAGGGGCCCCTTAATTGAGTGTGATAATTACTGTGTATATAAGTTTTAGACGTTCGGGGAACACACCTTCCAGATAAATGGAAAGTCGCTCATGTCTTACCGTTGTTTAAAAAAAAGATGATCCTTCAGTAGCTACTAATTATAGACCGGTGTCATTGTTGAGATGTGTTAGCAAAATTATGGAACCAATTTTCTTTTAAACATGTGTACAATTACTTTCACCAGAATAATTTATTCTACATATTTCAAGCAGGCTTTTTGCCAGGTCACTTAACCGTTTTCGACCTACTTGAAACTTATCACACTATAATTAAGAATATCGACGAAGGAAAAATTTGTTGCACGGTATTTCGTGATCTGTCTAAGGAAGGATATGGAGATAACGAACAGCATTCAATCTCAACGTCCATTAAACAATATACAAAATACGAGCAGAGCAAATACGGACCTCTGAAACATCAGAAGTGGGATCAGGTGCCATGGAGGAGTGAGCATCCCCTGCCGACCGGTCACACCCGCCGTGTACTCGTTATCATGATCAGGAAATAACGAAAAAAAATCCGTCGTCAATTCAGTGTATAAATAATGGACTAACAATTGGTATGAAAAACGTCAGTCAGCATATGACTCAATGATAAATTGTATTTGCTGACAAGGTCATTGTATCGACATAAGAAATTTACGAATTGATGACTTTGAACGAGACTGTTGATATTCTTGTTTCATCTACTTGCTTGTCAATAATTTACCTCGTTTAAGAAATTGTTCATACGTAGAGCACGCTCTTGCGCATCGAATCAACTGAGATATATATACTCCGTATGCGGGTGATGAAGGTATATTGCTGCATAAGTAAGGGAAGTTGACGATAGAAAACTTAAAGTCATCACGTTTATCATAAAGCTTGATTGTTAGATCACCATTAGTGTCTTTTTCAAGTAAAATATCCAAGTATGAAGCAGAAGTGTCGAACTCTGTGGTATCTTTTATCTCAAGCTCACCAGGATATATCGTATCGACGTAGGAATGGAAATTATCATTATTAATTGACAATACGTCGTCGATAAATCTAAATGTCGAGTTGAATGCCACAGCTAGTGTTTTCTTCTTTTCACGCATAAGATTTTGTATAAATTCTGCTTCCTATGAATATAAAAATAAGTCTGCTAATAACGGAGCGCAATTTGTACCCATAGGAATGTTGTTGGAATACCAAATCTCCGAAAACCACATAGATATTGTCAATCAGAAACTCAAGCATCTTCGTGATGTCAACTTCAGAGAACTTATGTGTTCAATCAGAATCTGTTTTAACAAAATAATTTTTCAAATGACCAATGACGAGGTAAGTAAATTTACGAGTTCCATTTTTGTTGAAGAAGCAGCTGTCAATGATATCAAAAAGCCTGGATTTTAATTTGTCGTTGGGAATCGTTGTGTATAAAGTTGAAAAGTCGTAAGTTTTTAAGTTGTTGATTTTTGTGAAGTCTTGTGATTTCAAATTTTCCAAAAGTTCTTTTGAATTTTAAAGTATCCACATCTGATTTACACCACTTCTTGAGTATATACATGTAGTTGCACAGTGCTTTTGAAGTTTGTCCTTCACTACTGTCAATGTTTTAGTGAGAAGTAATGAAAGAGGTTTGATTGAACATTTACTGGAACCTGAAATGTATTTTTGTTTGTAAGCATTCTTATGAAGTTTCGGAATCCAATATATATAAGGTAGTTCAAATTCATTTTGGCTCTGTTGAATATTAAAAGTATTCAAAACTGACGGGTGATTTTGAAGAATGTCTTCCTTAGAAAGAGAAGTATGAGTATAAGTAGGATTACCACTTGTAGAATTAAATCCAAGTTCTTCTAGAATGCAATTTATATAATGAGCCTTACAAACGAAGACAATGTTGTTACCTGCTTTGTCGGTAGGAACCAGTACGTACTGATCGTGTAATCTATCCAAAAGCCTTCGGCAGAGTTTGGCATAAGGGTTTACTTTTTTATATTGAAAATATATATGGATTATGAGGAAGTAGTATTTCCTGGATAGAGAGTTACATATGTAACAGAAGACAGAAAGTTATGTACAACGATATTTTTCGTATTATAGAAACACTAACGCTGGTGTACTGCAAGTATCTGTTCTTGGTCCTTTACTTTTTGATTTATATGTGAATGGTGTATCATAAAACATGGATGTTGCAACTATCGAATATACTTTAAATCATGATTTAGGTATTCTGGACAAGTGGTCTTCCAAATGGCTTATGAAATTTAACCTATCGAAAACGAAAGCATTATTCTTTACATTAAAATCCAATTATTATCTCCCAAAATTACAATTTCAACGATGTAATCTAGAATACATAACCTCTCATAAACACTAAGGTTTACTTTTGAGCCAAAATCTTAATTGGTCTGATCATATAGACAATATAGTTAAACAGGCTTACAAAAGATTAGGTCTTTAAAAAAAGGCTTAAATATAGTATCGGTAGAAAAACTTTATCTAAAATGTACATAACTTTTATAAGACCGCTACTTGAATATTGTTCTATAGTTTGGGACGGGTGTTCTTTACAAGATGTTGAACGATTAGAAATGGTGCAGCTTTATGCTGCAATAATAATTACAGGGATACCATTTATCGCTTCAACAGATGCATTATATTTAGAAACAGGATGGGAACCTCTTGCAGATAGGCGAAAATTAGCAAAACTAAATACTATGTATAAAGAATTTCACAACTTAGAACCCGATTATTTAAAAAAACATTTTTCCCGCAACAAGACGTTATGATACAATGTACAACATGCAATAGAGAGGACTACACTATTCCTAGATGTAGACTTGAAATATATAAGAAATCTTTTGTTCCTGATAAAATAAACCAATGAAATAGTCTGAGTGTCACCACAAGAAACAGCATATCTTTTAGCAGCTTTAAAAATACCATACATAAAAAAACCAGAAGACTCCCTTTCTTATTTCTCTCATGGTAATAGACAACTTAATATTACACATACTAAACTACGACACAATTGCATTTTGAATAATGATCTTTATAAAAGAAACACTATCGAGAGTCCTAATTGTTCGTGTGGTACACCAGAAGACCCATATTATTTTTTCTTTGTCTGCAATAAGTACTAATTTGCTTGAGAAAAGCTATTCAGAAATTTACTGTGTCTTACGAAACCAAATATCAAATTGAACATCATTGATTGTCATTCACTTCTGTGGGGAGATGAGTCACAAAATGTAGAAATAAAAAAAAAAAAAAAATTTTTCATTCACTTCAAAAATTTATTAGAGAGTCTGGTAGATTATTGAATTATTACTGCCTAACACCTACACTCTATATAGCTATATATTTATCATATGTAACAAATGTATGTTTCAATTTAACAAACATGTCTGTACATCAATATTCCTTTTTCACTTATTTCCCCTTTGTATACTGAAAGGAAAAAGAAACGCAGGGTAGCATAATTTTCAATAAAAATTTGACCACATGACCGAAAATTACGAAAATTGGTCAGAAGGGAAATTTAGTTGCTCTGCATCAAAATCAGTATTCAGAATTACTCAACCGTAAAATTTATGACGTCACGTAGGGAAAACGCTAAAAAGCCCAAAACACGTGCAATTTGATAACGACGAGTTTGTCAACAAATCTTGTTGCATTATTTGATGCATTTGAGGTATGCACATCGTTTTTCAATATTAAGAGACATTATGAATTTATTGCCATCTTGGCACAGTTTACGAAAGTTCAATGGGGTCTTGTTTTCGAATTGCCTAATTAATGAAAAAGGCAACAACGGTTTACTAAGCAGTCTCTTGTAAATTTTCCCCCATAAAACGTTTAAGCCGTTGTCAGAGAGGGTCTAGAGTGGTTTTCAATCAACCGTGACGATAACGGTAACGCGAAACAGAGTCATGTTACGAGCGGGTTATTCGTCCTGCCATCTCTTAAATCGCCACCTTACTACCACAAAAACAGACATTTATAGAGTAGATGATTATAATCATTACATTCATACGAAATTTGAAAGAAAACAATTCTGCAATTTGGTTTTTTGAGCCAGTCAACTTACGGTTGTATTCCTCTCACTGGCGCATGCACGCGCCGCTTGACTTATTTTTTGCGTGGTTACCCATGCTAAATATAGCCAGGATTTGAAAATTAAACACTTTGATGAAATTCCGTGCAAAGGAGGAATAAGGCTCTGACAAATGCACGAGATAGACATTGAAGATAATGAGAGTTTTTGATTTTCACTTTTGGGGGGTATCGTTATTTGAGCTTCAATAACTTATGAATAATTAGACAAAATCTTTTGAGAATTTAGTTATATCTTTTTGAAAGATTGTTTTAAAAGATAGATAAGAAAACTAATAAGTATTTTAAGAAAAACAAATTTAATTCACCTCAAAAGTTTACCCTGCGTTTCTTTTTCCTTTCAGTATATATATATTGACAGTTGTATGGTGAGAACCTAGTAAGTGGTTAGAACTTGTGTTCAAACCATTTGTATAGTATTTATACAATAAAATATGTTCAAACCATAAGATGATTTTTGGCTTAATAGTATTAAACACTGTTAAATCTATCTGTCGTATACGAAAAAAAGCTAACAGATAGACAGACGGAAGGATATGAACGCTATATGACATAACACAGACGTATAAAAAAATATGGAATCCAGGGTTTAACATTACCCTGGATCCGCAAAATTGTTGTAACTACGACCATGATAAATTTAAAATATCGCCCACTTATTCTGGTATTCCCACTTATGTTATGGTCATATTTTAAAATGTCCCTGTTTTTCTTTTATTTTTTATTTTTTTTTTTTTTTGGGGGGGGGGGCGTGGGGGTCAAATCATTTCAACGGGAAAACCCTTGTAATCTTAATTGTTTATATATAATGATGGTTTTTTCTTACCACTAATTTTAAGCTCATTGCCATCTTAATTCTTAAAAAATGGCTAAAGAACAAGGGACATCTTTCGAAAGTTGTGACAGATTATCTTTGACATTAGACCTGATATTGACCAAAACTTTAGGAATAATATGAGGCTGTAAT